GCCACCCCTTTTAATTTTCTGCTAGACAAGATAACAAAGTTACTCAAAGCAGAACATACAATGCTGTCCCAAATAACTCCTAAAAATCAAAGCAATTCAGAGAAACATAGCTCCAAACCACTGGGCCATGAAATCAGGCATCTTGCCCCTAGCAATACTGGATTTCATCTTTAGTTTAGCTGGAGAGTAAGCTATTTGTACATGGAAGAAAAGGTTTTGTGACCCAAGGCACAAGCCTGGAAGCATGAGGTTTTGTCAGCATTATCTTGAACTTTTTGTCTTGCTACAAATATGATTAGTCACAACTTTGAAACAAATGAAAATAGTTTGGAAATAATAACAGCATCTGACTCCACCTAACACTCAGACTGAATCTCTTGTTTGACACTCAGGCTGCTGACAGACATGAAAAAAAAACCCAAACCCCCATGCTTTAGCGGAAGCAGCAGTAAATTAATTTGACCCAGCTCTGCAGCGTCTGTATAGATCAGGCACTTCAACAGAACTTTTTGGCGCTCTTGTCTAAAGCTGATTCAATCAGTTATTAGATTAGGGGTGGTCAAAATATAGCCCACGGGCCACATCCAGGCAGCCAGGCAATTTCATCTGGCATGTGGGCACCCACCAGTTAACTGTACCCCACCCAGCCCACGTATTTCGCTCCCACCCTCATGCACGGGAGGGCTCCAGCCCCAGCCCCAGCCAGCACACACAGCTTCCAGGCAGGGCTGCTGCTGCCACTGCTGCAGCTGCCAGGGGACCTACTCAGCTTCTCCCACCCCCAGAGGCTCCTCCTTGGGTCCCTGCTACAGTGGGCATGGGGAAGCTGCAGCTGTGCAGGAGCATGGAGTGTGGGGCTGGTGGAAGCATGGAGCCCAGGATCTGGGGCCCATGCCCAGTGGAGCAGCAGAAACACAGAGCCTGGGTTGGCCCAGTTCCATTGCATGGGGTATCCCTTCAGTTCACACAGGGGCGATGCGTAGTGGGTACATGGGAGTGCACATGAACCCCCTGAGAGTGCCATTGCACCCCCTGTCAGGCCACGCTCCCTGTGTAGCCAGCGGGTGGCAGGGCAAGAGGGAGCACCAGTGTCCCCCTGCAAGCACCAGCTGGGGAGCAGGGCTGCCAGTAAAAGTGGCCGTGCCACTTCTAGAAGTGACTGCCAGAGTTCCAGAAGCAGCATGGCCGCTTTGACTGTGAGTGAGATTGGTCCCCCCACCCAGGCCAGTGGGATCAGCCCCCGGGGCACCCCTCTTCCCCCAGTCAGTGGGATTGGCCACCAGGGGACTCAAGAGGCACCAGACACCCATGAATTCACATGCAGCTCCTGGGACTCGCACACTACCAGGGGGAAGCCCCATGCTATGGAGCTAGCTGCCTAGGCAGAGGGAGAAAACATTATTTGCAGGGGAGGCTGAGTACACACACAGACAGACACACACACACACACATTACCCAGCAGGTAAGTCTGTGGAGGATAAGGGACAGAGGGAGAGGGAAGAGGTGTCGGGGGGGGCAGATTAAGGCCTCCATAGTGAGGAAGGGACTGGGGCACAGGTAGGGGCAGGGGCTGGGGTGAATGGGGCCCTGGGACAAGTCATGGATTGGTTGGAGCCTGGGCAGCTTATCCAGCAGTACAGGGGTCTCCCACCGCTGTGCACTCCCCGGGGGAGGCTCAGAGGGTATGTGCCCTCCAGAACTGTGTGCAGGCTGAAAGTGGGCTGCTGCTGCAGGCGGGAGCTCTGTGCCCCACTGCCGCTGTTACTGCCTCAGGAGCCACGCAACACAATGTGCCTGCTGTTGCCAAGCAGGCAGGAGACGTGGCACAACCTGGCGGTAGCAGGCACATGGCATCATACAGCTCCCAAGGCAGTGACAGCGGGGCTCAGAGCCCCAGCCCAAAGTGGCAGTGCACCTCTGACCCATGCACAAATCTGGGGGTCATGTGCCCCCCATGCCACCCCTGGGGTGCACATAGTGGCAGGACCGCCCCCCGGCACCCCTGAATGAGCTGCCCAGTCTCCGACTTTCCCACGACCCACCCCAGGCCCCATTCACCCCACCTCCTGCCCCTGCTTCTGCCCCACTCCCTTCTTCACTGTGAGGGCCTCGATCTACCCGTTCCCCTTCACAGACTTGCCTGCTGTGGTGGGCAGTGCTCCACATGCCGCCAGGCCATGGGTGGGCAAAATACAGCCCAGGGCCCGGCCCATGAGACCATTCTATCTGGCCCAATGGGTCCCTAAAAATTTAGAAAATTAATGTTTATCTGTCTTTGGTTCCTGTCAAAAATGACAGGAACCAGGTGCAGTAGGACCCAGGGGAAACCTGGCAGGCTCCCCCAACAGCAGGGCCTCCCTGGCCCCACCCCCCCATCCAGAAGTCCCAGCAGGGTCTTCTGTCCTGGGACCACATGGCCGCCCCGGCTGGAACCTCAGGTAAGGAGTGGGGATGGCAGGGAAGGAGCCCAGGGAAAAGCTCAGCACAGGGAAAAGCAGACCCTTGCCCACCCCGTGGCCGGCACTCCCTGCTGCAGCCACTCGCAGCCCACATGGGGCTGTCCTGAGTAGGCACAGGCAGCCCCAGGCTGCTGCTGCTGCCCGCCCGGAGCTTGCACGCTGGGCAGCCCAGAGATGGCGGTGGCAAACACTGCCCAGCGTGGCAAGCAGGGGGACTGAAACTGCTGCCGCCATGCACAGCCCCAACGGGCAAGCCCAGAACCACCCCACTCCTGTACTGCAGGGCTAGGGGGCACTGGGAGTGAAAGGATGCACGGGGTCCACACCAGTGTCCCAGGGCCAGCGCCAGCGTGGCCCAGAGCAGGGTGGCAGGAGTACAGGGTCCAAGCCAGCAGGGGCTCTATGGAGCTGGGCCAGTTCCCCCTCTCCCTGCTGGTGCAGCCCAGCTTGGCTCCACAGACCCTTGAAAGGCTGTGCCCCACTCTTGGCCCCACTAGCCATGGCTCTGAGACATTGGTCCCAAGATGGTAACAAGGGGGAGGGCACCAGTCAAGGGCTGGGGCTACTCATGCAGCCCTCGACAGCTTGCCAAAACTGGGTAAGCGGCCCTCTGCCCAAAATAATTGCCTGTCCCTGCGACAGGCTGTGATCCTGGCTGCGGCTTCATGTCTGTGCGCATCTCCTGGTGGAGCTGCCCAGATCCCATGCCCAGGCTGCCCTGCAGCCCTCTGTGCTGCCACTGCTGCCCCACATTTGTGGGGGGATAAGCCCCATTAGCCCCAGCTTTCCACTGCCTATGGCTAGCTGCCTTCCCTACTCCTTGCCACCATATGCAGCTCCCAAGACTCTGCTGGAAGTGGCAGGGAGCCCTGCTCCCTGCTTCCCAGTGGAGTCCCGGGAGCTGAACATGGTGACAGGGAGCAGGGCCAGACCATAGGCTCCATCATGCGGGACTTCACCCCGGTGGTGCGCAAGTCCCAGGAGCTGTACGTGAGCTGCAAGGAGCCCCGCATGATAGAAGCAGGCTAGCCTGGCTCCACTCCTTGCCGACATGTGCATTTCCTGGAACTGGTTGAAGCCACATGCCACCTGGTGGCTGCATCTGTGTGGGACACCTAAGGTGCACCACCTAGGCCTCCCCTACCTAGGGTGGCCCCCCCACCTAGGGTAACCACCTTTTTCAAAATGGAAAGGTGGGACACATGTGGGCTGTTGTAGACACAAAGGGGCAATGTGGACTGCCTGCTGCAGGTTCAGGGCTCCCCACACTGCTGCCTTTCTCTCCAGGAGCCCTGCACCAGCTGCACACCCCCTGCCTGCCCAGCAGCAGTGGGAGGCACAACTCTGAATCATTGCTGCCCCTGCTGCTGCCAGGTGGGCAGGGGGCACCTTACCATGGCAACATGACCAGCATGGGACTCCCAGGGGGAGGGCAGCAGCCACAGCAAGCTGCCCGCATCTACCCCCACCCCATGCACAAATCTGGGCGGCACGTGCCCCCTATCTTCCCCTTTACCCCTTGCACAAGCCTCCCATGGCTCCATCCCACTCCCCACCCTGGCCCCATGTCCCATACAGTGCCCTGACTGGGCAGCACCCCTAGCCCCTGCTTCACTCCATCCCTCACCGTGGGGGCCTAAATCTGCCCCTCCTACCCCCTCACACCCACTCTCCCCCAACATAGACATATCTGCAGGGAGCTGCTCTCCATGCTGCCTGGTTGTGTTCCCAGCAGGCACACACATACACATGGCGCCCCCTGCATCCCACCCCATCAGCCCCAAGCAGCCTGCAAAGGGAAACCTGCTGCTTCCCAAACCCAGATCCCTGCAGGACACTGCAAATCTAGACAAATGCTTCTCCAGAGTCATGCATCCCAGGACCGGAACTTGACGTTCCCATTTCAGGACTGTCCCTCCCAATTAGGG